CTGAGGCCAGGACAATATGGCCCCATCCCTGAAGTGGCCTTTGCAATCCGGAAAAGGTACAGTGCCCTTTTCTTCAAAGGCAGCTGAACAGGCAGTGGGCTGATGGCTTCTGATGTGCAATGGAACAGCAGCTGAAAGTTATTCTTGAAGAGTAACTAAGCTCACACCTCTTAATAGTAGACTGACATTTAATAGAGGGACATGGAGAAGAATGGGATGCTGAGATGAAGCCACATATACACAGCCAAGAAGAATGGATAGCTGAATTAAAAAACCATCAACAATTTCCAGAATTTAAAATCCTGAATCATGACATGACACTAGTGGAATTCACGTGTTTCTGGTACATGGACTGCTCTCACCCAATGTGAGGTCGAACTATTGGCCTTGTGTACATCCTACTTCACAAATGAGTCTGTCAGATACGCTAAGCCTATAGGCTGAAGATGATGCCCCAACACTGCAGAGAAACCTCAGGTGACTGTCAGGCAGCTGGCTGTTTCTGTCAACTCACAATTTTTTGGAAGTTCCTTGCATGTACTTCCTGTTTTTATTTTTGTTAGGTAATATTATTTCCTTTTTGGGTCTCTGAGAGAGTTGAAGATTAGTTAGTTATAGCTTAAGATTAGTTAGGATAGAAAGTGAATTAGGTACATTTTGGACTTACCAAAATAGGATAGATAATGGAATTATTTTCTCTGAATTTGTCAAATACAAATGGACTAGACGTTGTTTAGGTATTTATTGCTTGTATATATTGTATATAGTTATTGTACTTTTGTATATAGTTTTTCCTATGTTAGTTATTACCTTTCCCCCTTCTTCTTTTTATTAAAATAGAAAAGGGGAAAATGGTGATATTTTATTTGTACTAAAATGTGATTTGTATGTTAATAAATAAAGTTGTCCAGGGGTCAGAGCTATTAGAGCCAAGCTGGGCAGTGGTGGTGCACGCCTTTAATCCTAGCTCTTGGGAGGCAGAACTAGGCAGATCTCTGTGTTCAAGGACACAGCCAGCATGGAGACGCATACCTTTAACCTCAATACCAACCATAGAAGACCTGGAGGTCTGTATAGACAGGCAGTGACGAGGTGATCATGTGGTTGGATTTACAACCAATGAGAAGGCAGAACAGAAAGTGTTTATAAAGATAAACACACAGGAAGTAGGTCTCTTATGGAGAGGTAGGACCACCGTGAGAGGAAGAGTAAGGTTTTTAGCTCTTAGCTCTGACCTCCTGGCTTTCTTCTTTGCATTGGTTCTGTGTTTCTTATTTAATAAGACAGTTGGTTACATCTACACCTGTATGTTCATTGTTAGGGTCTGAGAATCACCTTACAAAAGACCATTCACTTATGCAAAAGCAAAGGCGCTTATTTCTCGAGGGAAAATTCCTGCATGTAGGGGTCAGTCACATAACAAAATGGTGATGACCCTGAGAGAAGCTCGCAGGCTCTTTTTAAGCCCAGCTAGGGAAATCCCAGGGGCACTTAGGTCATCTCCAGTGGCTACACCTGGCTAAGCAAGCTCCAGTTACATTAGTTTAAACTTGATTGGCTGTGGCATCTTTGGATGTGTCAGCAAGCCCAGAGATGGACCAAAAAAAGAAGAGAGGGGCAGTTTGCAGGATCTGCTCCTTTCTGATTGGCCAGCTCTAGCCTGCCAAGACTGGGGAGGCTGTGGGGTTGGAATAGGCCGGGGAGGCGGGCATTAAGCGCCTTACTAGTGAATGGTGAAGCTGGGAGTTCTGTGCCAAAGGCTGGGGCTGAGGCAAGTGGGTGAGCCCAGCCAAGGTCGGCCCTAGCTCCATACCCACACTCACCTGGAATACCCTGCCTCACTGAGGATTGGCGCTGGCTCTGTGCTGCTTCTGATGCTGTTCGAGCAGCTGCCAGACACTGTCTCATTCATAAGGATGGAGTGATGGTCTTCAGGAAGGAGATATTAAAAGTACAGCAGAATACAATTTCAGATATCATCTCGCTATTATAAAGGAAGAAAGTGTGAGACCAAAATGAGCCATCTTAGAAATAAGACCAAAATGCTTTCACCCTAAAACTAAGGCCTAAGATTTCTCCTTTTAGGTACAGGGCATGAGTTACTAGAATAGGCCATGAGTTACTGAAACCAGTCAGTCCAGATTCCAGAAACCAGGAAGTGTAAAAGTACAGAGTCACAAGGTAGTCACGAGGTAATGACTGCCAGACTATGGAATGTCCTCTCCCTGGTTCCCTAGGTAACTGTTTGACCAAAGAATGTTCTAACCTGGTTTCCAGGGTAACTGACCATAAAAATATCCCCACCTGAGGGCAGCCAATGAGAAATGGTGGTGGGCAACCACCCCCTTAGAATTAAGATTACGTCATGATTTCTAGAAAGGCCCTAGAAGCAAGCCAATCAGAATTGTACCCATACTAGCACCCCTAAATGATGTAACCTTGTGGTTTTTGCCTTTAAAAATTGAGCTTTCAGAGAGGCGGGCATTTCCTCCAGCGTTCACTGTGTTGTATCTGTTGGACGAAGTCCCTGCCTAGGCTTGTATTGCTTTTGGATATTCAGAATTAAACCTTGCTTTTGCATTCCGGCATGCTCGTCTTTGGTGGTCTCTCTGGGGGTCGCCATCTGGGCACAAGAAAAGTAAGAAGTGTTTAGGGGGTACAGAGATGGCTCATCAGTTAGGGATACTTACTGCTCTTCCAGAGAATCTGGCTTTGGTTCCCAGCACTCACATGGTGGCTTACCATGGCTCTAGTTCCAATAGTTCTGATAACTTCTGGCCTCTGAGGGTATGGGCATGGATGTGGCCCACAGACATACATGCAGACAAAAAACCCATACACTTAAAATGAAAATAAAAATTACTTTAAAAAATAAATATATAGATTAAAAAAAATATTGATTACTTTGTTGAGATGACATAAGTACTATAAAGTGATAATATCATTTACATTGTTTCATGTTATTATCTTTACAAATTTATCCTCTTAGGGAACCATGGGCTATTTCTCCATTTTAACTCCAATGAGTTTACAAAGTGAGAAATAATAGGGTTAAAAATATAGTTTCAATCTACCATAAATTGGTGAAGAATTTAAAGAAAATGTTATGAAACCTAGAAAAATGGGTAACTAACATGTCATGATTTCCACATTGGGATTTTGGTGTAATAGAAATTAATGCTCATCTTGGCATGCTGCTGGTCATTGTCATGGTTCATAGATGTCGCAACTGGGTAGCACTCTCAATTACTCCCTCCCTTGGCAATCTGTGAAGTATTTTCTAGAACCACAGAAGCTAGATTGTAGGAGAGAGGCTGTCAGGTCAGACCCAGCTCAGACCAGATGAGTCCTGTGTCCTAAGGGTGTATTGTCTTTAGCAATAGGGGCCCAACCCAACCTAGAGGCAATCAAGAGCTACACTGGTGGTCTGTGTTGTTTGGAATTCACCAGGACTACCCTGACCAACCTTCCAAAGGCTGAGGCTTCTGCTGGTCTACGGTTCTTGTGGAGAACATTGTCAGCCCAGGAGTGTCACCTTCTCTCCTATAAGCAGATGTACACACACTTCCATGAATTGGGCAGTTGCAGGGAAGCAGGAATCCACTTCTTGAGGCTTTATCAAACAGTCTTGGTGCCATGCGCCCCTTGTGCCTCCTTCTTCCGTGCTGACCTCCCTCCTTTACCCCAGGTGGGGCCCTCCGCCCATTTTCAGTTTCACATTTCAGGTCGCCTGAATCCTGTTACTCCCTTCTCAAGCCCGCCCCCCCTCCTTACTTCCCCTCCTCACTCCCCACCCCACTTCCACTCTCCACCTCTCCCCCTCCTTACCTCACTTCCCCACCTCCCCACTCCCCACCCCACCTCCCCACCCCCACCCATGGTCCCTTTATACTTTTCTGGCTTCTGAGGATACCCCATGTTATACAATCATATGGAGGATGTGGAGCTAGGAACCACAGATTAGAAAGATGTGGCATTTGTCTTTCTAGGTCTGGATTACCTCACACAATATAATATAATCTTTTCTCGGTCCATCAATTTACCTGAAAATTTCATGATTTTCTTTTTCTTTCTTTTTTTTTAAAGATTTATTTATTTATTTAGTATACAGAAGAGGGGCGCCAGATCTCATTACAGATGGTTGTGAGCCACCATGTGGGTGCTGGGAATTGAACTCAGGACCTCTGGAAGAGCAGTCGGCGCTCTTAACCTCTGAGCCATCTCTCCAGCCCTCTTTTATTTTTTTTTTAAATAAAAAATCTTTATATTTTTTATCTTGAGTGTTCTGCATGTATACTTGTATGCCAGAAGAGGGCATCAGATCCTAGTATGGATGGCTGTGAGTCACCATGTGGTTGCTGGGAATTGAACTCAGGACTTGTAGAAAAGCAGCCAGTGATCTAACTGCTGAGCCATCTCTCCAGTCCTGATTTTATTTTTCTTTACAGCTGAATAGTAGTCCATTGTGTATATGTACCACACTTCCATTATTTGTTTGTCTGTTGAAAGCATTCCTGTTGTTTCTATTTCCTGGCTATTGTGAATAGGATGCCAACGAACAATAAGCCACTCACACATGATGGTAACTAACAACTTTCAGTTGGACTGAAGGCCCATACAATAGGAAGAAGATTATGCCAAGTACTGAAAACCCAGTCAGCTTTCTAGGATCCATGAGGTCATGGACATTTTTAGAAAAGAATCTACTGCTACCACTTTGCTAGATCAGCAAAATTTCTTACTACATTCTAAATCTTATCTTTATTCTTACATATAAATGAAATTATAACCCCTCATCAAAGAAGCAAAAGGGATCGTCACAGAAAATCACAAGCAGGCACAATGCAAAGATCAATGGATCGTAGGAAGCCCATCCCCCAGTGGTTATATCTGTATCAAAGTTCCTGTATCTATGTTCAGGGAACATGGATGAAGAGGAGGGCAGAAAGACTGTAAGACCCAGATACCAGGAAGTCTGCTGTGAAATAGTCTCTCCTAGAAATTACTGTATAAGTAAGATTGGAATAAAGACAACATCAATGGACATATTAAAACAGTTTGTGGGGTCCCACCCATAAGAACCATAGACAGTTAATGACTGCTGGGAGAAAGAATTGGCCTCTCCCTGGGGTGAGCCTTCTTATGAGCTGTCCAGTGCAGAACGGTCAGCCCTGAAACCACACACATACAAACAACAAAAATGGACTCAGCAGGTTGTATTCATATGTTTGTGCATCACATACTTAAATATGTATGTATCAGTAATAACAAAAAAGGAGGCTATCAACTTGAATGTTGGGCGCATGGGAAGCACTGGGGGGAGAGGACCTAGGAGAGGGGTTGGAGGGAGGTCATGGAAGGGAAAGGGACATAATTCCATTTCAGCTAGAAACACATTTTAGAGAGCTGCTGGCCACCACCTAAGGTATGTCTGCCACTACTGCATCCTTGGGGTTATCAAGACATGCTGGTCATTGACGTGGTTCATATGTGGCATAGATGCGTAAGACTGTTCATCCTTCCCTCCTTTGGAAGCTTCATGGTGTCTGCTGGGACCATGAAAGCTAGTCCTCAGCGAGGAGGAGGCTTTCAGGTCAGTTCCAGCCCAGAGGCTCTGAAGGGCGTGGTATCTTCAGCAATAGAGATTTATCCTCCACCCCGGGGGGTCAGCTAAGAGCAGTAGCCACAGCCTGTAATGTTTTGTGAGTCTCCTGGACACCTCTGACCAGCAACTCAAAAGAGGTCTTCTCATGTTTGGATCCTGGAAGAACACTGCCAGCCCAGCTAAGAAAATTTCATTTAAACTATACTCAATGTATTGTAATTCTTTTTAGGTAGCTAGTTAACAATATGATTCCCTATGGCTGCTTCAGAATATGAGAGACTTTGGAAGGAGAAAAGGGAAGGAGGAAATGATGTAATTGTATTATAATCTCAAAAAATTAAAGAAGTAATAAAAACATCTAAAAAAGAAATGTGTATTTTAGGATATGTATTTCTCTGTTGTATATGATTGATAATTTCCTGCAACACAAGAATACAGGGAGCGTATTGCAGAGATCCCTGCACACCCATGAATAGCTGCACTAGTCACAATAACCAAGCTATGGGATTTTCCCAGATGTCCATCCACGAATGGATAAAGAAAATGTGGTGCATATACAAGTGAATTTTACTCATTGTAAAGAATGACTTGATGACATTTACAGGAAACAGATGGGATTGGGGATCACGATGTTTAATAGAAATAAGTCATAATCAGAATATAAAACTACATTTTTTCTTATACAGAGAATATAGATTTAAATTTATGTATACATGTGGGCCTATAAGATGCCTCAGAGGAGACGGGTGACCGAGTTTGATTCTGGAAACATATGGTGGAGGAATAGATCTGATTCCTGTACAACTCCTGAAAGTGAGTACCACATACTGGGACACACAGTATACACACACATACACACACACACACACACACACACACAACCACACACACACATACATACAAATTCACAACCACACACACACAACCACACACACACAAATACACACACAACCACACACACACACACACACACACACACACGCAACCACACACACACACACACACACAACCACACACACAAATACACATAAAATGAATTTATATATACATGATATACAAAGTGTATATATACATATATACGTGTATACACACACACACACACACACACACACACACACACATACATGATGTGATATGCACATAGAAATGGGATGGGGAGTGGAGGAAGAAGCCGAAATGGGGTAGGGAGGAACAAGAGAAGATGACATTTGGGACATGAGAGTGGAGACTGGGACTATTTAGGAGGAGAAATGCAGCTGCAGGGAGGAATGAGAGGACCCAGAAAGGCAGGGAGGCTGAAGAGGGAAGTATAGCAATACATACTCATGGAAATGAACACAGAAACACATTACCTAGAGTACTAAATAATAACATTAGTAACAATTCCAGAACAATAAATAAGCTTTTCGCTAGATGTTACAAGACTGATAAAAATGTGTTTCAGCATGTACTTTGGATAC